TCATCTGCAACTGAAAATAGTTGTGGATGATTACTATACCTTTCTAATGTGACGTTGTTGTCCCTGGCTCTCTGTCTCTCCCTCTGGCTCTGTTCCTGTGCTACTCAGTGTAACTACCGCCCCTCCCCCCTCTGCCCAGCGTAAAGCACAAGACTCTCGTGCAGAGTGAAGCGGAAAAAAGTGCGAGAGAGAGGCTGAGAGAAAAAAACAAAACAAAGAAAAAAACCACGTGACAGCTCGCGATAAGGAGCCGGCTCGCGTCGTTCACGTCAAAGACCCGGCCCGCGAACGACCCATCACTAGTGTAAGCAGTCATTTTACTGTACAACGAATCTGCTATAAATTGCACTGTATACTTAATATCAATTATCTGTATTAATGCCGTTTTTGTAAAAACAATCACTGTGTACCACCATCAGAAACTAATACTAATATAGAAAGAGATAAATAAATACAAATAAATAAATAAATTGTAAGATATTATGAATTGTTGTGCATTGTTAGGTATTACTGTCATTGCAAATTATCATTAACAGGAATTTTATCAAATCATACGTACATACCATGGAGTGTGGCAGAATGTCAGCTCACCTCAGAGGAAAGTAAGTTGCCTGGTCAAAGTCCATTTATAAAATCTTGCTATTGTGGAGGAATGTAAAGACAACAGGAGAGGTCTCAATATGTCTCACTCCAACTTCTTTATTCACAGCTTCACAACAACTCCACATACAAAAAGCGCCAAAACCTCCACCCCAGCACTTCCCTTGACCTTGGGTGTGAGTGGAGCCACCTGGTGGTCTGCCACACTATCTCTTTTAATTGCTATCACCCTAGAGTAATTATTTAATACGGATACATACCTAACCTATGACTTTTTCCTCAAAGTCAAATTGAAGAACTGCTGTAAGCTAATTAAAACGCACAAAAAGAAAAAGCACACAACCCCCCCCCAAACACACACACACAAAAAGTTTAAAAAAAATGTAGGAAATTGGAAGGCTGTCTGTTGTTCAGTCCCATCAACATGCTGATAATATTAAATCTGAGACTGCTATAAATCAGATATGTTGCAGCAACAACATACCTGCCTTTAATTTTAACTGTGTTTATTAGAATTGACCTTTAGACGTAGTAACAGGAGGTAAATCAACACACCAGAGAGAGAATCTTTTAAGAAAATGTGGTAGATGTGGTCTTTGACAGATTATCACGAGAATCATAAAAACTAAATGACCATAAAATTTATAAATGGGAGCAAAGAAGGAAAAGTAAATATAAAAGAAAAAATGAAAAGAAAACTTGGCTGTGAAGGGGGTGGCACAACTTTTTTTTTGAGTCACATACTTTTTCCACATAGGTTTTGATAGATTTTTTTCTGTTAATAGATGAAATCATTATTTAAAACTGCAATTTATATTTACTCATGTTATCTTCGTCTATTGTGATTGATCTGAAACGCGCGACAAATCTGCAAAACAACAACAACAAAAAAAATCAGGGAGACAGCATTGTAAAAACATAAAAACTAGAATATAGAATAGAAAAATACGTAGAATATTAAGATGGGAGGATGAAGACGCACAGGAGCCGACAGCACTGGCGGCTTCCTAAACAGTAGAAAAGGGCCTGCGTGCCCAACCGTCGTCCCCTGATCGATGATGATGATGAGGAACATGTAAATTAATCAGAATGGTTTTTTGTATGTAATTTGTATAGTATTTTTTTTCTCTCTTATTTCTTTTCTAAATGTACTTGTATATTGTTCACATGTTGAAATAAAATTACCAATCAATCAATCAATCAATCAATCAATCAATCAATCAATGATGAAGCTTTATTTGTCACTAGCAGTTGCCTGCAGTGAAATTGGACCTCTTCCAATCATACACACACATTACAAAAACATCACACTGGGGAGACAGGTCAGAACAGGTAGCATTAAAGAAAAACAGTGAAATATACAACACAGTAGGGAAGAGGAGGAGAAAAAAAGAGAACTCTACTCAGACTGAGCTCCTTATAGGGGATCAGTATGAGAACAGAAAACAAAAACTCTTTAGTACAAAAAGCACATAAATGTTCACACTGTAACACCATGACAAGCACCAGGGGTAGCTAAATGGGGTTAGAGTAAGCCAATGTAGACAGCAGCATCGGCTCCTGTGGAATCTCTGGCGGAATCCAGGCGACCCGGCTTCTGCATCAGGTTGGGGCAAGCGTCGGAATGCGTCATGTATCTGATGGTAGATCTTTATTTGCAAGTCATTTACTGCAGTGCTGCTCTGATAATGGCTTAAATCTCTCCAGTAAAGTCTTTTTGCCTAATAATAGCTACACACGTATTAGAGAAGCATGGCACACAACATCATGGTTAGATCATTGTATCTGCACAGCTCAGGACTCATTAGAGTTTATGAGCATTAATTAGCATCTTGCTCTTACTGATCATGTTCCTGTATCTCTTTATCTGTAAATTTGGGCAAATTGCCTTAGATTAATAATATATTTGAGGGGAAAATTGGTCCAACCTGATTGAGGAGGACCTTCTGGTGTATTCTGATAGGATTGAGCTACCAAAAGATGCATTTACATGTTAATTGTAAAAATCCCCAACATGCGGCCGAGTTGTGTTCCTTATATGAGAATATTGTGGAGTCCCTACTCATGTCGAGCAGCTCACTGCCTAAGACTAAAATGTATAAAGCTAAATGAGACTGGAAGTTACAGTGGGATGCAAAAGTTTGGGCAACCTTGTAATAGTCATTATTTTCCTGTATAAATCGCTGGTTGTTACAATAAAAAAAAAATGTCAGTTAAATATATCATATAGGAGACACACACAGTGATATTTGAGAAGTGAAATGAAGTTTATTGGATTTACAGAAAGTGTGCAATAATTGTTTAAACAAAATCAGGCAGGTGCATAAATTTGGGCACCACAAAAAAAGAAATGAAATCAATATTTAGTAGATCCGCCTTTTGCAGAAATTACAGCCTCTAAACGCTTCCTGTAGGTTCCAATGAGAGTCTGGATTGTGGTTGAAGGTATTTTGGACCATTCCTCTTTACAAAACATCTCTAGTTCATTCAGGTTTGATGGCTTCCGAGCATGGACAGCTCTCTTTAACTCACACCACAGATTTTCAATAATATTCAGGTCTGGGGACTGAGATGGCCATTCCAGAACGTTGTACTTGTTCCTCTGCATGAATGCCTTAGTGGATTTTGAGCAGTGTTTCGGGTCGTTGTCTTGTTGAAAGATCCAGCCCCGGCGCAGCTTCAGCTTTGTCACTGATTCCGGACATTGGTCTCCAGAATCTGCTGATACTGAGTGGAATCCATGTGTCCCTCAACTCTGACAAGATTCCCAGTCCCTGCACTGGCCACCAGAGATGGGCAGTAACCAGTGTTGGGAAGGTTACTTTTAAAATGTATTCCATTACAGAATACAGAATACATGCCCCAAAATGTATTCTGTAACGTATTCCGTTACGTTACTCAATGAAGTAACGTATTCTGAATACTTTGGATTACTTAAATATTATCATGCTTTTTACAACAACGTGAATGTACTATTGCTGTGTGATTTATTACTATTACTGAAGGTCCGCGACTCCGAACTGTAGTAAAGGGACCTCTGACTAATACGGCGGGGTCCCTGTCGGCTTCGTAGCCGAAAAATAGCTTTACTTTGTTGTGTGGGTCAACTTTTCTTGCGAGAGACAGAGAGAGGCGTTGAAAGCTGCTCCAACGGAACTTATTGTTTTCGGAGGAAAACACGAACACGTGTACAGTCGAGTCTTAATAGCTTACTTACAACTGGGCTCGTCAGGCACTCTTCTTGGCTGAAGTGGTTATTATTATATTTACATGCTTCCAGCTCCCGTTTTTCTCGATGACAACTCGTACCTTTCCACTCCCCTTTTTCTCCCTCCTCGCGCTCACAGACCCATAACGTGTATGGCAGTCCATTCTCCCTGCAACACGGACTACACTGCCCATGATGCTACATTCTTTCGAGCTATCTTGTAGCATTCTGCCTGTTAGCTTAGCACAACAACAACACGAAAAGGCGCTCTCTCACCCAGGAAACACACAGTCACAGAGAGAGAGAGAGCGTCGCCCTGTAACCATGGCAACCGTAACGCTGCCGCCTGGAACAACAGAACGTAGCTGTCAAACAAAACCCAAACAGTCCTGACCCGCGACAATATGAAACAGGAAAGTACCGCACGTGTAATCCATTTATTTCAACAAAGTAACTGTATTCTGAATACCACCTTTTTAAACGGTAACTGTAACGGAATACAGTTACTCATATTTTGTATTTTAAATACGTAACGGCGGTACATGTATTCCTGTTACTCCCCAACACTGTGAGTAAGCGTTACTGTAATCTGATTACTTTTTTCAAGGTAACGAGTAAAGTAAGGGATTACTATTGCAAAAACGGTAATTAGATTACCGTTACTTTCCCGTAGGAACGCTGCGTTACTGCGTTACTAAAACCGTGATTTTTTTGCGAGAATGTCTCAGACAGTGACGTAAGCGAGTGCGACGTTCGTGACAACAGCTGTGTGCAGATCAACAATGGATACATATATCGAGTGTGGGAGAGAGTATGAGCGTGCAGCGTTTAAAGCGTGGAAGTACTGACCTTACTTTGAGTTTGATTCCATAAAAAGTGACAAAAACATTAGTGTCCGTTGTGCGTGGGAAGAAAACTTCTTTTTACAGCGAAAAAAACCCCTAAACTTCCAAGCAAGCGAATGTGCAGAAAATAGGTTTAAATATTAAACATAATTTCTTCAAGTCAGAGAATGTTGCATATAATTAAATTTTTGCTTGATGCATAAAGTTAAAAGATTAAAACTAATAAAACAAGTTTTAAAAAGAGACTTTTCCATTTGATTACATTTTGTATGATGGATTATGCAGAAAAAGTAGAATTGGGCTGAAAGATCTATCGCTTTATCACCTATTCAGGTTGTAAATCGTGTTTTAAAAAGTAACTAAGTAACTAAGTAATTAATTACTTTTGAAAATAAGTAATCAGTAAAGTAACGGGATTACTTTTTTGGGGAAGTAATCGGTAATTAGTTACTGATTACTTTTTTCAAGTAACTTGACCAACACTGCTGGCCACACAGCCCCACAGCATGATGGAACCACCACCATATTTTACTGTAGGTAGCAGGTGTTTTTCTTGGAATGCTGTGTTCTTTTTCCTCCATGCATAACGCCCCTTGTTATGCCCAAATAACTCAATTTTAGTTTCATCAGTCCACAGCACCTTATTCCAGAATGAAGCTGGCTTGTCCAAATGTGCTTTAGCAACCTCAAGCGGCTCTGTTTGTGCTGTCGGAGAAAAGGTTCTGCATCGCCAGCAAAAAACTCAGCCCAGACTATTCAGATGAACTCCACTTTAGCAACGGCCGTTGCTGTGCGAAGCTTCCTCTGCTCATCTACAGCATCTCCTTGTGTAAAGTGCGCCGAATGGTTGAACGATGCACAGTGACTCCATCTGCTGCAAGATGATGTTGTAGGTCTTTGGTGCTGGTCTGTGGGGTTATGACTGTTCTCACCATCCTTCGCCTCTGCTTATCTAAGATTTTCCTTGACCTGTCACTTCCGGCCTTAACTAGAACTGTGCCTGTGGTCTT